GCAAAGCTGAAGGCAGCAGGGATCACATCCCTCCCTTGCCCACAGGGCGCAGAGCAGGGATGGCTCAGGGCAGCTCCCAGGGCAGGGACAGCACCAGGGCTGTCACCCCCGGCACCCTCGGGGGACAGCAGGGCCAGAGCATGAAAGGCTGGAAATGCCCAGCCCCATCTGTGAGGCAGAGATCTCAGAGCTGCAACACCAAGTCCAGTTCTCATGGCTTTGGGGTGTACCAGCTGAAAATGTTTTATTGTTCATAAACATGATTCCACCCTCGGTTCACTTAGGATGGCGTTTCATTTTGGAGAATCTCTTCCAACCTTACAAAACTGTAAATTCCAAATCACTTGGGTCTGACTACCCAAGTATGAATTTCTTTATACGTGTAACACGGAGTGGAGCTGAAGTGAGCCAAGGGCTTGTGCTGGGGCACTCGAAAGGTGTGTGCACCATGTACAGCCCTTGGATGCTGAATAAAGAGCAGGGTCAGGCAACAAAAAGTGCACTTTTCAGTGCAGTTCTGTCCATAACTTTCTTTCCAATAGCTTGTAAACCTTAAAGAAAGCACTCAGAGGAACACACTGTCTAGCTCATAACCTGTGTGTAACAAGACCACTTCAGCACTGGTGCAGGACCAGGATTTGCTCTTGCAAATAATTTGTCTGCACTCCCTGTTGGGAGCACTATAAACCATTCTGACACTCCTGCCTCGTGCTGCCAGCAAAGGAAAGGTTGTGTTGCCTCGGGCCCTGTCAAAGCTTCATTTCCTCTCTTGCAAACCCAGCCCAAACGCTGTGCCCAGCGCTGGCAGTGCCTGGCAGGGCAGCTGTCAGCGATGCAGAAAGAAAAGGGCACAGGGGAGAAAAGGGGAGGTTTTAAATCTGTGATGGTGACCACAGAGATCTGCTGAGCTCAGGGAGACTCGCACACAGCACTGGACACTTGCTGTGAACTTGTCTCAACTTTGGGGACCTAAACCTGAGAGACCAAGAGAGACTGAGATTATAAAATATGCCAGCTATTCCTCTATTGCAATGCTGTGGTGAGCAGCAGAGCATTCAGGGATTGGTGTGCAAAGGTGGGAGAGAGTCAAAATGCTGCTCCTTGTTCTCCTACCTACAGTTCAAAAACACAGAAGACAGAAATCACTAAATGTGAAACTTAAAAACAGCTGTACAGATAATGTCAGCTGAGATTTGGTGAAACACAAGGGAAATAAGTAACAGTGACTTCTAACCCAGAGCCCAGACAGCCCTTGCTGAAGTCCCTGGGAACATGTTTAATGGACACTGAAGATTCAGCTCCTGATGAATTTAAATTTAAATCCTTTAAATGACAGGATCTAGGGCTTTTTTTTAAAAAAAAAAAATAAAAAATTTCTGTTGAGCAGCCTCCCTCATCAGGAGAAAGAAAAGGGCAATAGTAGATGAGATGGTTGCAGCACACACCACTGGATGTGAAGAACAGAAAAAGAAACATGGTGTAACAGTTAAAAAGGAGAGGAAAGGTACATCCTAAAAAAATCAGGTGGAGATTTTTGTCTCACTGCTGGGGAAAAGGGAGGAAGGAAAGCTGCAGCTTCTCAGTCTGATGGCTTGTGGGACAGACCAAAGGTATCATCAGCCACAGATCCCTTCTAAGCCTTAATTGCTTCTCAAAAAAATGTGTCAAAAGGCTTACACAGATTTGGTTTGCAGTTTAATTAAAGGATTAGCGAAGTTCTCTTTTCCTATGTGGGAGCTATTAGAATAGGAACTTGCCTGGAAGATCACTCATTTAACACAGCCACTTAATTGCATTAATAAAACCTTTGCTTAGGCAAAGTACTGCAAATGGAGCTGGTATTTCACTTTATGCAGGAACACTTTCCAGTGAGGTGAGGTGGGCACAAAACACAAGCCCAGGCAGCAGCTGTGGGGAGCAGGGTGCTGCCTGCCTGCCGTGTGACAGCCTCAGCACCGAGGATGTTCTTGGGAGGGCTCGGGGCACCCTGGTGATCTGTACTTTGCATTGTACTTCATTATTTTGAGGGGGGGAAAAAATAAAAATCCAGTCTACAAGCTGCATCACTCCCTGGCGATGCACTTTGTGGGTAGGCTGGATTAAACCAGGCCAGAAACGCTGTTTGCTGGCGTTGTGCTGAACGAGACCCTGCTCCCCTCCTGCTGCTCCCTCGGGGCTCCTGCTCTGCCAGGCTGGAGCTCCGGGGCTGTCCCAGCCCGGTGGGGCTGTCCCAGCCCAGGGGACAGCAGCAGCCTGTGTCCCACCTGTGGCTGTGTCCCCGGGCTGGGTGAGCCCTGCCCTGTCCCCAGCCCCGGCTGCCAGGAGCTGTACAGGTGTGCTCCCCCAGGCTGGGAATGCCCGGAATGCCCCCAGACTCAATTCCCACAGCAAAGAGGAGTAATTCCGTACCTAGGCACAGGGACAGGCTCAGCACTCGGCTGAAACTTTCATTTAGTGTTACATAAGAGTGAGATAATTATATCTAGAAATCTTCATGGCACGCTCTTGAGTTTTAACTCACCCTAGATACTGGGATTATTACAATTCAGAGAACCCAACACTGATTTCTACTTCCTTATTGCTGATTATGCATTTGAAAGTTGCTGTGTGTTGTGTTTTCCAGCCCCTTCTTTCCCAAAATTTCTCCTCCTTCCTACGGTACATTGCAAAGTCCTAGAAACTGACTGCTTAAAAAATAAAAATAAAAGGTTAAAAATTCCATTAACATCAGAAATATTTTTTCATTATTGTTACTAGGGGCAGCCACGAGTATTTTAAATAAAACAACCTTATAACACCTGAAAAAACACTTTTACTTACTCTCAAGGAAACATCTGGAAGGAGGGCAATAAAAAAATTACAGATTCCTTGCAAGCGTGAAAGAATATAAATATTTGAAAACTATAAACATCTTAAGTCTCTCTCCCCAGCTCACTTATGGCTGAACCAGCCCAGTTTCAGACAGAAACCCACAGTGAACAGCCTTGGCCTGCAAAAACTTGCATCTCAAATCAAGATGATTGTTTCAGAAATTGCTAAAGATTTCTAGGAAGTTAAGAAAATATGATTTGCTCTCTACTTGTTCCTAAGTCTAGGCAGGGGGAAAATCCAGAATGTAGTTAAGGAAGTCCCACTTCTCTCTGTGCAAGGCAATCCACCAAACCTGTATTTCCCTACAAAACATGAATTTATATCAGAACTACTAGCATAGTTCCACTGAAAAAAATTAATTAAACTAGCAGAATTTTCACGTAGAGTACAAATATCTGGGTAATTCACTTTCAGGTACCTATCAATACCAAACATTAATTTCATTGCAGGAATAGCGCTTTTTGCTATAGCTGACTCAGCTGACACTCCACTGATCCCTAAATTGATTTATTGTAAACTTTTGTGTTAGCAAACTCGTGTCACTCCTATAAATACCTCTGGAAACCTATGCAACAAAAAGAAAAATCCTCTGGAGAATTCCCTGTGAAAGATGTTGTCTGGCAGCAATGGAGGTAATTATCCTGGTAATGTATTTTGCTTTGCACATCCTACAATAACTTTTTTACATAAGCAAACAGAAAGAGGCAGGGACTAACCCAGCCCTCTGCCTCCCTCTCTTCCATCCAGGGGCTGTGCCAGGTTTGGCTGCTCACCTGAGGCTGTCAGGCCTGCAGGCAGCACTGAAAGGCATTAACATTTACATTAATATTAACATTTCTCTGCTGAGAGCAGGGGCAGCAGTGACCAAGGTCAATAAAGTGATAAATGCTGCCTTTAAAACATGGATGAAAGCCATGAGGTGCAAAGTCTTACAGGCTGACTGTGCCTTCCTCTGCAGCACAAAGCTGCACTTGTCACATCAGCCTTTCACCGTGTCAGTAATGCACTGGGAGCAGAAGCCAATACCCTCTGCAGGCTTCCAAAAACTTCAGTATTTGGGAAATGAGACTTAAACATTCCTTTCTGAAGGCATCCCAAGACTAGGGTGAATTCCCACTATCACCAGGCACCATCTAACACAGGCCACTCCTCTTTAATACTAGAGGATCAAACCTGTTGGTTCAGCACACAGACAAAACCTTATTGCTCTGATTTAAAAACGGCACATCTCCAAGATGATCCCACTACCAAAGCTGTACCTCACATTCTTTTTAAGGTGAAGATTAGTGTGCTGGGACTGAAAAGACAATAAAAGAACAGTTAACAAAAAAGAAAAGAGCAGCTTCTCAGCTCTGAGAAGGACTTCTAATATGACAGACAACCACCAACTTAACCACAGCAGAAAGAATGAAGACAAAAACCTCTTATAAAGGTTTCTCCTTGTTTTTCAGTGTGTTTTTGTTTCTTTATACCCCACTCACTCTTCCCAGGCTGAGGAGGGTCTGTCTGTGTGGAAAATCTCCTGCCCCACGAGTGGTCCCAGGCAAGCCCTGGGTTCCTGCTGGGCAGCAGCAGAACCAGGCACCCAAAACCAGCACCAAACACAGCAGCAGCAGTTTGCATCCCCTCACCGAGCATTCTACCGAGCACTTCACCTAGGAAATCACACAGCAGTGAATACAGCAGTGCCTTCAGTGATTACCTGGCATGTCTGTGAGAAGCCTCCTTGGGACAGCCAGAAAAGCTCCCTGCAGACAGAGCAGGGCTCACCATCACGATTTGTCTGTGTGACCACAGACATCAAAGCCTGCTGTGACTGCTCTTGACAGCACAAGAAGCCCAGCAGCACCAAATCCCCCTCCCCAGGTTTAACTGTGGTTCCCCATTTCTCTCACTGCATCCAGGGCTGTTTCTCCATCCTTGTCAGAGCACAGTCTGAACGCTCCCTCCAGGGTGAGGACTAGAAGTGCACTTAGCACATACAGGAATGCAGTAATGGCTCATTCATTCTCTCTGGTGACAATGGTCAGAGGTCTTCAGAGGCACAGCTCTGTACCTGTGCAGTTAACAGCAGAGCACTGTGTTGATCACAATGCCTGCCTCAGATAAACACACACCTGCAGTCACACCTTGGAAGACTAATTTTCCTCTTCAGCTCCTCCAGGTCATGCCAGTGCAGTGCAGAGTCCGGGAGGAGAGGCTCACACTGATGCTTGCTGCCAGGCAGTTTGTCTAACTGATGTCCTGCCACCTCAAGAGCCTGCAGAGAATGGTTTGTTTCAGGTTAACATGTCAAAAATCGCCCCCTTCCCTGCAGCCCTTCAGGGAGGGGCTGCTCCAGCGGGGTCCCTGGCACGGGGTCAGTCCTGCAGGGACAAACCCTGCCACCAAACTGCTCCTGTCTGGAGCTTCCCAGGGGAGCTCAGCACCCCCTGCTCGGGTGTGGCTCCCCAGGGCTGCAGGACAGCCAAACCCACACCACCACTGCATTGTTTTTATACTACTTGAGACTACTTGCTGAGGTTTAAGCATGTCAGCATCCTTGTCCGTTTTCACAGCAATGTGCTTAGTCTGGTTATTTTAGGGAAATCCCATTTGGGTATCATATTCCCACAGGGAATTTGGCCGTGGTAACTGGAAATTTAAAAACTGAGGAGCTCTTCTGAATTTTGCAGCTTCACTTTGCATTTGACAGAGCACTGGGGCAGCCAGCTGCACACTCTGAATTGCCCCTTTCACTCACCCTTACAAAACCCCAACATTATTTTTGGAATTAGGTCTTTCTCCAGACAGTGCCACATAGGGGAAAGATCAGGAAGAAAGGATATTCCAAAAAATCAGTGAATTCTTAATGCATTAATATTGGAACAAGGAAAAAAGTCTCAATATAGTATCCACTGTTTAGCAGTTGCTGGCTGTAGAGCAGAGTTGACTAGTTTACATTTTCCCAACACACACAAATATTTCTTCAGAAATTGAAGTACAATAGAGGTGAAACACATTATTTTATTTATTAAAAATTTACCTTATAATTTATCAGTACTTTTTTCATGTTTTTTAAACAAACAAGATTCAATCCCCATCGAGAGTTTGCAATTAAGGAAAAGGGTGAAAAGGAAGGGATGTGGAGAGAGGAAATTAGACATGATGCAGCATCTGTTATCTCTCAGAAAGCAAAAAAGTCAACTCAGTGCACCTGGACCTGCACCCTGATAAAATGCATTAGGTCTCCAGACATGTACTTTGCACCTCCAGTATCTTCCATCTCTAACCATGATGTAAGGATTAAAAATTGTCCTTTCTTTCATCCTCAGGCTCACACCTATTTTTCCATTTCTGTAGTTCCTGGGAATCATTTATCTTCCATACTTCAGCAAAGGACTTCATTTTTTTCCTGTGGGAGAAAAAAAAAAAAAACCCTAATCAAAATACAGGCACATTTTTAAATGAAGCACATCAAACCCTGAAAGTCCTACAGTCATCTGCAAAATTTTATACACAGTCCAAAATAGCACAGCTCAAAATGTTATGTGATCTTCAAACAACCAGTTAATATTTTCTAAGATACATGTTCCTGCTCTAGGTCAGCCAACAAATTAATTTCATAACTAAGTTACAGCACCAGCAGCATTGACAAAATGATATAAAAAAATGCTAAGAACAAATTGTTAAAGGAAATAAACAGCATTGCAGTCAGCCCTGTTTAATTTTCATCATTCAGTTCGTACAAATTTGTATTTGTAGGATCATAAAAAAAACCCCACATTTTCAATATAAATGAGTGCATGCATCCTTCCTGTTTCTCCTTAGCATTTTTTGATTTATAAGAGCTGTGACAAATTACAAGACGTTTACAACGGGTTAACACACATTGCTGATGACAGTAATGTCAAAACTGGATGAAATTACCCAGTGGATTTTCTTAAATAATATGAAAGTGATTTAAAAAAATAAGACAAGGCATCAGGCCCATGGGTACAGAGACAGCACAAGGGCAGTGCTACCAGCAAGTCTGGGTGTGGCTGCCCAGAGCTGGTACCTCCTGTTCCCACCCCACCAACCAGACCCACGCCTGGGAACAGCAGAGATACTGCTGGAGACTTGTTTTTTCTTCTTTTGCCAGTTATGGACTGTATTTCCAATTAGTGTAAGCCACCACACTATTTTTCCTATAAACTGTCACGTAGCATCAAATGTTTTTATTTTGCTTTATTAAGAGGGGATAAAAAACGTCATTAAGCGCCGAGTACTGTCAAGTTCCAAAGTTTGCACCTATAAATAATTAGTAGTCAAAATGTTCTCATGCAAAATGATCCTGTCAGGATTAGGTACAGCCATCAGACAACCAAGATCTTGGTTCATTATGTTCCTAAGGGGCTACTTGAATTTTGCTCACAGGAAAATAACCAAGGAAAATAACAGCCATAGAAAAAAAAATAACAGTGAAAATGGATATGAGTATCTAAAGTGTGCACATAATGTTACAGGATTTACAAATCCATTATGCCACTTCATACACACAGGAAATTTTCATAACTAGTCTAATATACAGGGTAGAAACACTCCTGAATGAAAACTGGCTATCAGAGAACTTTCAGTAAAATTTCAGGTATTTGTGGGGACAATCAAAATATATTATAAATATTTATTTTCAAGTTAAACCAGAAGAAGAATGGCCGCATTTCCTTCCACGCTTTAGTATGTAGAGACAATTTCAGGTTCCAAAGTAAATTTTTAAATTGAAGTCATTAGTATTTTCACTCTCTCTGCTGAGAATATAAGTAGGTATTACAGAAAGAAATAATTTTTTTACAAATCATATTTGTTCTGACCTTTTCATGTTCACTATTCTCTCCAACTCCTTTGATTTGTGAGCTGCTTTTTTCAAGATTTCTTCAGGAATATCTGCCAGTTTGGCAACATTTAGCCCGTAACTCCTTGCAGAGACTCCTTTAGTTATTTGATAAAGAAAAGTGATGAATTCAGGATTCTCTTCCACTTCAGATCCTAAAAAAGTAAAACCAAAATCAAAACCTCCTCTATGTGGCAAATACACAAGTCTCCTGTCCTGATCAGCTTACAAGGTAAGCAGATAATACAATACAAAGAATTATTTAGGGGAAAGGTTGATGGCAAATACCAATGGCAAGTCATTAAAAAAAATATCTACGATTATTCAGTGAACAGGCCTTTAAGATGCCTCTTATAATTCAAGAACTGGGACCATCATGTTTCAAAACAGTTTCAAAACAATCAGATGTGTTTTTTCACTCTGTAGAGTGCTAAATTCTGGAGCTGCTTGACACAGTAGGATGAAGACACTGAAAGAACACGATGTTAAATTAGGCAGCCCCGTTGAAATCCAATCCACGGGAGATACAAAACACATCCTGCTCGTGAAGCCCCATAAATAGCAAATGTTTTCAGACAGTGAGATCTTTCAGAGAAGGAGCTGCCATATGTTTGATCCCTAATCCCTCCTCCCTAATCCTTTGTGTTTGGCTGCTGTGTTTTGGATGCTGGCATGGGCACATCTTTCACCCACCCCAGCTCAGGTATCCTCCTGCACCAGAGAAGGAATAGATGTCAAATTTTCAACTCTCCCAAGATGTGTGACTGAAGTGAGAATGGGTGTATCTTGTTCAGGTCGGGTGTAAATTGTCACACTGACATCTTAGGAGTTCAGCTTTTACATTCTCCATGCATTTGTAACCCTGCAGTTCTTTGGGGCACAACTCCAAACCCCATGTGCAGGGTCAGCTGCTGCTTCCCCATTGGGCTCAGACCCAGCAATTCCTCTCCAGGCCTGGCAATCAAGGACACCTCAGTGCCTCAGGCCCCAGAAATGCAAACAAAAGGGAGCTGGGGACAGCAAACTGGGGCTGAATGGCTTCATCAATTCCTGCAGCTGCAATTGGGAGATCAAGCCCCGGTGTGCAAATGGAGCAGACTTAGAAAAGTGGGGAACCCGTCAGCCCTGCTCCATTTTGGGAGCGGCCCTGGGGGGCTTTGTCTGCCCTAAATGAACCTGAAGGCCCTTCAGCAAATCCAGCTGCTTTTTATTCCAGTCACTTGGCCTGGCCTCTGATTTAGGTATCCTGAAAAGGCATCAAAAGTAGTGTTAGTTTGTGCCAGAGTGTCCCTGAGGTGCGCACTGACCTCTCTGCTGGTCGTCCTCGTTCAGCAGGAAGGCCATGTGGTAATTGCCCACGGCGTGTGGGTACAGCTGCTGCAGCTCGCACACCGGCGGGTAGTGGGTGACAAACAGCGTCAGTGCCTGCACCTGCAGCACAAACACACACAAAAAACACGGGCTGTGTTTCCTGAACACCGCCGGGCAGAGCTGTGTCCTTTCTCCACAGCCCCGTGCCCGCCCTGCCCCGAGGCCGCGGCCTACCCTCGCTGGAGAGCCGCCACCAACTTTAACCCTAACTTACATCCCTGATGAAATGCTCCAGGGTAGCGTAGGCAATGGCAATGCCGTCGTGTGTGCTCGTCCCTCGGCCCAGCTCGTCCAGGATCACCAGGGACCTCGAGGTGGCCTTCCTGATGATCTCAGCAGTGTCTGTCAGCTCCTCCATGAAGGTGCTTCGGCCTTTGTAGATGTTGTCTGCAGCGCCCATTCTGCACCGGGACACAGAAAACAAAAACTTGTTACAAATTCCAGCTAAGGCTGGGAAACAAAGCAGTCATGGGGATGAAACGATTCTGTAATAAATCTCAGGTTGCTGCTCCAAACAGAGGAGAAGAACCCAGGCAGAACATTTCCCTTCCAGAAGTTCCCAGCACACACTTCTCCCACCTTCACAAGCAGGACAAGGCAGCTGGCTTTTCCTTAAAAAATCCTGGGACTTCAGACCAGTCAGCTCACGAGAATTCCATCAAAGGCAGCTGTGAAGGTGAATTCCACTCCTTTGCTTTTATTTGTACAGGTTTCTAATGCTGACAATGCCCAGAGGTATCCGATATTGGCATTTGCACACAGAGTGGAAGCTCCTGGTGTTTGCGCATGCAAACAGCAGAGCAGCAGCTTCCTTCAGGCAGTAACAACATGACAATTATTTCCCCTAATTGCACGGGTACACAATGTTAACTAGCATGCTTAAACAAAATTTAAAGGTATTCTAAAGTTCTCCATTCTGTTGAAACGCAACTCTTAGCAGCCTCCAGGCAGGTGAGCACCACACACAAATTTCTCCACATGCCATCCAACTCTCCTAGCTCTAATTTAGATCCATGAAACCCTCAACCCCCATCTCAAATTGTGATTTTGTGGCCTATAGCTGAGAAACCTGCTCAGAAACCTCAGTTTTCCCTTTTCCTGCAGATTTCCTTACCTGTGCAAGTAATACCCATTCTATACTGAAGAAGGAGCATTCCTTTTTTGCATTTCTACTTTTGAATTGTATTAATCACATTAGAGCATCCCTTTGGAGACAGGCCATCACAAGCAAGCCACTGAGGAGGGATGTAAAACTAGACTTACTCACTCTTATCAGCCAATATATAGTTACATATAAGTCACACTGATTTAAGAAAAATTGACTCATGGGTTTAGTATATTACATTTCCAAATTTAACAGCTGGCCACAACAGTATTTAAAGCCAATCAGAACCTTTAAAGAGAAGCCCAATACAGCTTTGTTTTGCTCTGTCTTCTGCTAGGTCTCTATTATATTGTTTCTGCTACCTCCTGAAGCGCCACCAAGACACAAATGTTTTCATGAGGATCTTACAACTAAGAGTATTTGACTAAAACAAGCAGGTCGGACCCAGTACAGCTATGATTTGTATATGTTCCCAAGTCCCTGCCCTGAAAATCCGTCATGGTATCATGAGTAACTGTGTAATAAGCAAATCTTCAGTGATAAAATAACTACTTCTGATGGGCAGGTGAGAGAACTGAGTTTTTATTTCACTGAATGCGTGCTTAAGCACACACACCAGTTACGCTCCCACATACACCGAAGGAGAGGTGATTCTGGACATAAGCTAATTCAACTGTACATTATTTTTCTCTGAATGAAATATATAACTCAGGATAATGAGGTATTGTGAAATTAGCGTTTTATTAAGCCACTTGCCGTGTAATCCTTTCAAATGCTAGGTTAGGAATGATGAACATTTTATTGAATTTGTCTCATTTCAGTGAATTTCTCCCCACCACCCCTATGGCCCCTTTCCCAGCTTGGGTCACGCACCAGGTTCTGCTGTAAAATCAAACAATCCCCCTTACTGCACAGGTCCACAGAGAACAGGGTATCT